ATTTATTTATTTTTTCAACTTAAGTAGAATGTATTTTTTTCCCAATTAATTTTCTACTTTGGAAAACCACAGCAAGAAAATCATGCAATAGATATCTGCTGTGTTAGTGGCTCCTAAAGAGGTAGTACCTCTGAAGATCAACTCAAGAATACCTGTCTTACCTATTTTATCCATGTCTTAATTTTCAATGATATCCCTCTTTACTTCCCTTTACTATAGTATTGCTGTTTAATTGAAAACAAGTTTACCTTCCACGCTCACTTTGTAAAATGTTTGTTTATTTTCTTAGTGTTAGAATTATTGCACTTATGGTCTTCTTAATTTATGTTCACCATTTATGACTTTCCCTTAAATCTCACCTCAATATTTGCATGTCTCTCCACCCATAATTGCAGTGTTTTTGTAACCCCAGACTCTTTCTTACAGCCTGTACCCCAAACAGCAATCAAAATGTTTACTCATCTAGCAAGTCTTGCTGCCAAAGCCATATGCAGAGGTAGCACTCCTGAAGATCAGGCTGCCACCTGTATGATGATAACACCCAGATATATCTCTCATCCCCTGCCCATGTCTGCCCCTTTCTTACGCAAGATGCTGCTAAGTAGCTTGTTCATGCTGCTAGTAATCTCGCGCATTGATTCCTTTAGTTCTCTACTAATAAAATATGCTGCCAGGCTGCTCCTCTCATACCTCACTCCCCTGTCAATTCTTACATTGGCTTCCTGTACCCTATTGGAGTCAATTAAAAATACTAATCCTTACCCATAAAGCTCTAAACAACTCTAGCCCCAGTTACATTTCGTCACTTATTTGTATGTACACCGCTCCTAGGTCTCTCCACTCTGCCGGTGAACTTCTCCTGTCCACTGCGCATACCCCTACTGCTAACTTCTACTTGCAAGACTTCTCAAGGGTGGCTCCATCCCTTTAGAACAGCCTGCCTCCCCCGCATCAGACTCTCCCTTAGTCTTAAATTGTTTAGAAGACCCTCAAAACCCATCTCTTAAGAAAGGTTTATGGCCTCCCAGAGTAACCTCTATTTGACAAACCTGTCTCTTGCTCTTTTTTAAAAGGTCCCCCTCCACTCTTACCTTCCAATTACCCTACTTTACCACCTTCTTGCTTGGTTGCTATCACCTATTCTGTCCTCCCTGTTGTGTTTGTTATACCCACCTCCTCTAGATTGTAAACTTATTTGAGCAGGGTCCTCAACAACCTATTGTTTCTGTAACATTTTTGTATATGTCTAATTTTTTGTTAAATGTCCCACTTTATAAGTCAATGGGACCTGATGGAATACACCCAAAGCTATTAAAAGAGCTTAGTGGTGTACTAGCAAAACCATTAACAGATTTATTTAACCAACCATTGTTAACAGGAGTAGTCCCAGAAGATTGGAAGTTAGCGAATGTTGTGCCCATTTACAAGAAAGGTAATAGGGAGGAGTCGGGCAACTATAGGCCAGTAAGCCTTACTTCATTAGTGGGGAAAGTGATGGAAACCATGTTAAAGGATAGGATTGATGAACATCTAAAAACACATGGATTTCAAGATCAGAAACAACATGGGTTTACTTCAGGGAGATCATGCCAAACTAATCTTATTGATTTTTTTGATTGGGTAATTAAAATTATAGATCAGGGTGGTGCAGTAGACATTGCTTACCTAGATTTCAGTAAGGCTTTTGACACTGTTGTACATAGAAGGCTTATCAATAAACTGCAATCTTTAAGTTTGGATTCAAATATTGTTGAATGGGTAAGGCAGTGGCTGAGTGACAGGCAACAGAGGGTTGTAGTTAATGGACTATATTCGAAGCTTGGACTTGTCACCAGTGGGGTACCTCAGGGATCTGTACTTGGACCCATTCTCTTTAATATTTTTATTAGTGATATTGCAGAAGGTCTTGATGGTAAGGTATGTCTTTTTGCTGATGATACTAAGATATATAACAGGGTTGATGTTCCAGGAGGGATAAGCCAAATGGCAAATGATTTAGGTAAACTAGAAAAATGGTCAGAATTGTGGCAACTGACATTTAATGTGGATAAGTGCAAGATAATGCATCTTGGACGTAAAAACCCAAGGGCAGAGTACAGAATATTTGATAGAGTCCTAACCTCAACATACGAGGAAAGGGATTTAGTGGTGATTATTTCTGATGACTTAAAGGTAGGCAGACAATGCAATAGAGCAGCAGGAAACGCTAGCAGAATGCTTGGTTGTATAGGGAGAGGTATTAGCAGTAGAAAGAGGGAAGTGCTCATGCCATTGTACAGAACACTGGTGAGACCTCACTTGGAGTATTGTAAACAGTACTGGAGACCATATCTTCAGAAGGATATTGATACCTTAGAGAGGCTTCAGAGAAGGGCTACTAAACTGGTTCATGGATTGCGGGATAAAATTTACCAGGAAAGGTTAAAGGATCTTAACATGTATAGCTTGGAGGAAAGACGAGACAGGGGGGATATGATAGAAACATTTAAATATATAAAGGGAATCAACACAGTAAAGGAGGAGACTATATTTAAAAGAAGAAAAACTACCACAACAAGAGGACATAGTCTTAAATTAGAGGGACAAAGGTTTAAAAATAATATCAGGAAGTATTACTTTACTGAGAGGGTAATGGATGCATGGAATAGCCTTCCAGCTGAAGCGGTAGAGGTTAACACAGTAAAGGAGTTTAAGCATGCGTGGGATAGGCATAAGGCTATCCTAACTATAAGACTAGGGACTAATTAAAGTATTTAGAAAATTGGGCAGACTAGATGGGCCGAATGGTTCTTATCTGCCGTCACATTCTATGTTTCTATGTTTCTATGTTTATAACATTGTAAGGTGCTGCAGAATAGGTTGCCACTAAATAAATCCCAATAATAATTATAATAATGAAAAATATACTGTATTTTAAAAGGCACACGATAACCTGATACATATTATCCAATGCTATTTCAATTTGAGACAGCAGTAGCAATGATAGAGAATGGCAATTCTTTGTGGACGTTCATTTCGCACAATGATCTGCCAGCATTGTCTTTATTGCATGCTCTCAAGCACATCACAACACTGGAATAAAAGGCTTTAATCAAGCCTACCTGTCACATTTTGTACCACTGAAACTTTCAGACAGGGCTTTCTACTCTGTTGAATACTTTTATAAAAATGACATTACCAAGGGAAAAGCAACATAGTGGGTCGAAGAAAAGAAACGAGAAAAAGTCTGTCAGAAATCTGTCTTAGCTGAACCATTATCTTTGATCTTTCCGAGGTTAAGCACCATAGAATATTATCAGTTATTGTATGTGGAGTTAACCCATGTCATTAGTTGTACTATCATGTAGGGATTTATTTATCCATATCTTTTAACTATTGACAGCACTGGTTTAGCAGTTGTCTTATCTCCCCCACTCTTGTTACAGCTATTAGTGATATATAATATAGTATCACTTCTATTACTTGGGAATACACTGTTATATTGTAGCTAAATAGTATTGCTTCAGCATTAGTGTTATTATGTATACACTTTTACAGCTTGTATAAGTAGTCACAGAGTTTTACTCGCTGTATAGTCTCCATTTACTCCTGCTGTTCATATTATATATTTTTTCTTTTTTATATTTTTATTTTAGATTTATTTATTAAAAGTTACTTTTTAACCTACAGTCTTCTCAGTAAATCATACACAGGTAGAATGGCATTTTTTTTATTTTTTTGTTTATTCTCTATGATATTCACCATTTAGGGGTTACCCCCCTTAATTTGTACCCTCTACCTTGTGATATCTAAATTTTGGCCCTAGGTTAATTCTTTTTGTTTTCCTCGTATAATAATTTCAGGGTCCTAGGACCCAGGTTTTAATACCACAACCAAAGAGCCACCTTACAATGAAATTAGAACGAACATCCTGCGGGATGGCATCCTATTTAACACAGATTCCAAACTTAGATTTTGGTTCAAATGAGATAATAGATGTTTTCTCATTGAACCCACTCCCTAACCCTAATCCAACCGATATAAATTAGATATTTTTCTTTATAAAGATAAAATTAAAGGCTTTTGGGCTTTTGGGAGTTGGCAAGTCTGAAGCAGTATGTTGAAAAAAAGCTGGTACCCCGTGAGTTAAGACTAAATATCTCCACACCAGACAAAGTAAACACAGAAGAGAAACTGACAGGTTGGAACAACATTCTTCTTGACTGTTCCTTTAAATTAATGCAATACTTAATCCAGCTAGAACAAAATCATTTTGAGACTATTAACAAAAACCTTAATGATCAAATCATGTTAACTAAAGAATCTCAATCTAAACCTGACTACAAACCCATGGAGGCACAACTCCAAAAAAATCTGAAAAGCTTCACTAAACTTATTAGGGAGAAAAAACATTTTAAATTCCAGAGGGACCACAAAGACTTCAGTGAGGGTAACATTTTTAAAGTTATACCCAAATCAAGAAAAAGAACTAACAGTAGAAACTCTTCTACTTCTGATTACACTGATTGGTCAGACTTAGAGTCTGCAAACAGTAATAGTAACAGCTCCAACTCCTACAGATCAAGGAATTATAATCAAACACCTAAAGGTATTTTACGAAATCAGGATAAATCAGTATCATTCCTGAATAAACCCCCCTTGACTGATACAGAATTGGAATCTAGACCAGGATCCTCTTCCTCCTCTCCCTCTCCTTTTTTGGACCAAACTTGGCAAAACTCTCAAAAACCAAAATTAAGAGACAGGAAAAAATGGGGTTACAGGGGAAACAGGAATCGTTAAAAGCAGCAGCTTTAATGGTTCCCACGGAAAACAAAGTCATAAATCTATCCAAATTTCAACTAAATACTACACATCTGTCCCTTCTAAACAAAGGGCTCTCCTTTGTACCCAGACCTAATACTGACAAATTTAACTGGTTAAAAGATACTAACCTATTTGGTAGAAAGTTGACATTGAGTGCTCTACATAAGAGAAAATAAACTCTACTCACCAGGGACATGGGTGTAGCACCAGAAGACTACCCACATTTGAGAACACTAGTCACGTTACTGGATGATCAAGACAAAGACCCACCTCTCACAAATTTAAAACCACGAAGTTGGTACACTCCAAACTTCAAAGAGGTGACAAACATTGACCTTTTTATTCAAATGACATGTAATGAAATTGAACAACTCCCTCTTGACAAACCTATACAAATTAATAATCTATCACATGAAGAGACACGTGCTTTAAAAGAACTGAGATCAAACTCCAACCTCGTAATTAAACAATCTGACAAAGGAGGTAATATTGTACTAATGGAAAAAGAAAAATACATTGAAATGTGTATGGTCCACCTTTTTGACACCTCATGCTATGAGAAGCTTCCAAATGATCCTACTGCTTCATACTTGAAAACTTAAGTTAATACTTACTGAAGCAAGAGATAGTGAGATAATCTTTCAAAATGAGTTCAAATTTATTTGTCCAAATAACACACCTATGGTAGCGACTTTTTATTACTTACCCAAAATTCACAAAAACAAAAATAATCCACCAGGAAGACCAATATTTTCGGGTAATAACTCACTCTCAGAACAAGCGAGCAAATTCATGGAGAAAATACTCCACCCATTTGTAAGTGATCTTTCATCTTATATTCAGGACACCAAACAGACATTAGTCACTCTTGAGAATCTCACTGTCCCCCCATACACTCTTCTAGCAAGCATGGATGTAGTCTCTTTATACAATAACATCCCTCACAAAGTAGGCCTTGAAGCCACCCATTATTTTTTAGAAAAATCATCCAAAATTACAGCGTCCCAAAAGGATTTCCTGATGGAACTATTGAACTTTATACTAACTCACAATTATTTTGTGTTCATCGGCACCTGCTACCTTCAAACTAGGGGCACGGCCATGGGAAGTGCTTGTGCCCCTAGTTACGCTAATCTGTATTTAGGGTGGTGGGAAGCCACAATTTTAAAAAATACGTTACAGATAGGATTTGATAAATTCATCATTAGTTGGCATCGTTACATTGATGATGTCCTGGTATTTTGGACTGGCTCAGTAACACAGTTCGAGGAACTTGTCTCGATACTGAACATCAACACTATTGGCCTACAATTAACTCATGTCATCAGTGAGGACAGACTAAAATTTCTGGATTTGGTTATTAATCTATCTCAAGGGGGTGAAGTAGATACCGAACTTTACAGAAAACCTACTTCGTGTAACAATTTCTTACATTGGAACAGCCATCACCCTTACAAACTCAAGGCAGGTATTCCCTATGGGCAATACCTGAGGGCAAAAAGAAACTGCTCGAAAGAAGAAACCTTTATAAAAGAAGCTAAGAACCTAAGGCTTTGCTTCAAACAGCAAGGCTATCCAAATAAAATCCTTAAAAAGGCATTCCAATGAGTCTCCAGTATGGACAGATCGACTAGTCTCAGAAATTACAAAGTGAAGGATACTAAACCTACAATTAGATGCATAGGCACTTATGATCAACTATGGAATCCCATTCGAAAAATCTATGCAGACAATTGGCCGATACTCACCCACAACAAAGAGGTGGCCAGTAATCTTTCTATATTCCCAAGTATCACAGCAAGACGAGCTAATAATCTACATGACCTGCTAGTTCATAGTCATCTTGAACCAAAACCATCACCTAAGACATGGCTACAAGAAACAAAGGGAATTTTTAGATGTGGGAAATGTAAGGCATGTAGGTTTATTAAACCTTCAAAATCAGTCTTATGCACCAATACGCAGAAAGCATATCCGATTAATGATTTTGTTAATTGCAGCACCACAAAAGTAGTTTACATCATTACTTATAGCTGTAAACTACAATATATAGGAAAAACCTTCTAAGAATTGAGAAGGAGAATCCTACAACATGTGAATTCCGTCTCAAACCTAAACATTTCCACTCCTGTCTCCAATCACATAAGGAACTTCCATAACTCGGATGCATCTCATCTTACGTTTCAGGTTTTAGAACTTATCCACCTGAACACTAGAAAGGGTAATTTTAATCTCACCCTATTAAGGAAAGAATCCAGATGGATACATTAATGTAAGACCTTATTCCCCTTAGGACTAAATGAAGAATTTAATTTTACCCCCTTCATTCACAAATAAATGCATAATTATTTACTATCAATATTAATTTAGGTCTATTACAAACATTCTCTTTCCTAAAATCTTAAAATCCTAAAAACTTTCATTAATGTTACATTTTAGCCAACAAGTTTAGGAATCCACTAATATATTCTGCACTAATCAGTAAATAGTTTAGCAGATAAACGTTGCTATGTTCGTTCAACTAACTATGTCACTATTGTTAATCACATATAAGTTAAAATAATGACATTATTGTCATTTTGAGAACCACTGTTACTTACACTTTTCCACTTTTTCTTTTCTTTTTTATAATCAATCTTTTTAACATTCAGAAAAAAATAAAAAAAATAAAAAAACGTAAGATTCAGGTCAACATAGGGTTAATTAGTCAATTATTTCTTAATGGTTGAGATTCCCTCCCCAAGCTACCATTGGTCAGAATCCTGAAAATCCTCCAACCAATTGAGAGCTTATGATTTAAATACTCCTATGTTTGCCAGCATCTGGTTCCCCTCTGATGAGCTTCAATGGTGAAACATGCATGTCAGGGGCTCTGGACACTTACTGACACCTTATTTGTGTCGGCACCTAACTCTCTGCTTATCTATTGCTAAATTACCGACATCAAGTTCATTCATGTCCAGCATCTCAGGAGTGCATATTGGAGACTCTTAACACTAATTTTGTGTACTCTGTACATACTTTACTTCTCTTTCTTTTTCCTTTATTATGTTTATGGGGGGAGATTGATAAGACCAGGCATTTTACTAAGGGGTGCCCTTGAAGGCACAAGACTCAGGAATCTTTATTCTATATGCCTTTATTCTATATGCCTTCCTCTGTCACTGTCTGTATATTTTCTACTACCTAGGCAACCTGTTTATAAAAACTGTTTGTAAACCCTCTTTTTATACTTTGACCTATTATTTAGATGCAGCTAGCACTCAGGCAACTTGCGTGACTTTTAACAGGTATATTTTCTACTACCTAGGCAACCTGTTTAAAAACTGTTTGTAACCTTTTCTTTATACTTTGACCTATTATTTAGATGCAGCTAGCATTTAGACAACTTGTGTGATTTTTAACCGGTTAACTGCTGCCTGTCAGCAGTCCTTCACAGGTGAGCTACTACTTGGTGCTCCACTGTGGTCAAGCATAAGTTAACATCATTCAGTGCAGGCAGCTGTTGTTACATAGAATATACTGCTAGGTATCTTGCAGAAAAAACGGAGCCAGGTCAGCAACCCCTTATTTTATACTTTACTGCTTGACAGCAACCTTTAATTTATTATCAAAATGCTGCTATGATCTAGGCAGCTTTTGTGATATTTAACTGGCTAATCACCGTCTGTCAGAAATCTGTCTTAGCTGAACCATTATCTTTGATCTTTCCGAGGTTAAGCACCATAGAATATTATCAATTATTGTATGTGGAGTTAACCCATGTCGTTAGTTGTACTATCATGTAGGGATTTATTTATCCATATCTTTTAACTACTGACAGCACTGGTTTAGCAGTTGTCTTATCTCCCCCACTCTTGTTACAGCTATTAGTGATATATAATATAGTATCACTTCTATTACTTGGGAATACACTGTTATATTGTAGCTTAATAGTATTGCTTCAGCATTAGTGTTATTATGTATACACTTTTACAGCTTGTATAAGTAGTCACAGAGTTTTACTCGCTGTATAGTCTCCATTTACTCCTGCTGTTCATATTATTTTTTTTATATATATTTTTATATTTTTATTTTAGATTTATTTATTAAAAGTTACTTTTTAACCTACAATCTTCTCAGTAAATCATACACAGATAGAATGGCATTTTTTCTTTTTTTGTTTATTCTCTGATATTCACCATTTAGGGGTTACCCCCCTTTTTTTGTGCCCTCTACTTTCTGATATCTAAATTTTGGCCCTAGGTTAATTCTTTTTGTTTTGCTCGTATAATACTAATAAATATAAGCTTACTTTTATCTATTTATATCATTATTTAAAATTTGTATCATTGAACTCTCTGTTGTTGAGTTCTTTTAAAACAAAAGTTGTTAATTAGTTCGGACAACAGTACAAATAGTTTTTTCTAAACTTAAACCTCAGTATTGAGGTTTAATTGCCGTGTTGGCACTTTAAGGAAAAAAAAGTTGGCATGTATTGCGGTTTGGGCACTCGGGCTCAAAAAGGTTCGCCATCACTGTGCTAAATTATACTTCCGTGCACAGCAAAAATAAAGAATTATGAAAAAAAAAATCATACTTAGATGTCTTCTTTTTTTTTTTTTTTTCTCAAACCTGCTTTTTTCAGCCCCAAAAAAGCCAAGGAAAAATCCATAATTCCCATCGAACTTGAAAATAAAAACGAGCGAAAAAGAAAAATATGTAAAAAAAAATCCTGACGCTAAAAAAAAATCCAACTTAACCCAGTGAGGGCTTTCCCATGCCCTGCAATTTGATTCAGAGCGCTCTGATTGGTTGGTTTAAGCTTGTTAACTCTTGAGCCTTACCTGATTGGTTACTTGCAAGGATCAATAATTACCTATCAGAGCACTCTTATTGTTGGCTTAAACCAACCAATCAGAGCACTCTGAGTCAAATTGCAGGGCGTAGGAAGGTTTTATAAGCCTTTCCCCGCCCTGCAGAGCTTAGTCTGTGCAGTACCCTTGCAGGGTGAAGTTGAATTAAAAAAAAAAAATTCTGCGTCGGGATTTTTTCTTTTCCCAGCATGTTTTTTCTTTTGCGCTCAGGTTTTTTACATTTGTTTTACAAGTTCAAACTTGTGGATTTTTATTTGGCCTTTTTTGGGGCTGAAAAAAGCATGTTTGATAAAAAGAAGATATCTAATGGTAAGTAGGTCCCTCCCTATTGTCATTTTGGGCCCCTATCCAATGCTCACAGGTGGGGGCCAGAGGGGGGCAGTAGGTTTCCCTATTGTATTTTAGGGCCTCCACCTGTTGCTCATGGGTGGGGCCCGGGGGGTGGACACAATAGGTCCTCCCCTCCTATTTTCACTAGGGCCCCAATATTAATAAAAGGGAGTAGGGGCATGTCGCCTAAACAGTGTCCTATAAAACTACGAAAGAACTGAAATGAAAAGGTAATGCTTTCGGCATTTGCCCTTTCGTTTCGTATATAATTCGTATGTAGGACTTTCGTTTATGCTA